TTACCATATCGAACGTACTCTAGAAATTCAACCTGGGTGGAATTGAAGTAGTAAAGGTGGGATATGGTAGAGTCAAGGTCGGATGCAGGAACGCAGAGGTAGCAAACAGAGTATGCTACGACGGGACTAATCTTTGATATCCCCACGGACATACCCAACGAAGAACTCCTACAAGACATAAAATCCCCGATACCGATTATGAAAATTATTAGAGTAGAAAGAAGAGATATAGAAAAGAAGATACCAACCAGAAGAATACAAGTTTTTTTCAGGGCCAAAATTTACCGAGCCACATTTACTATGCATATACAAGAATAGAAGCAAAACCTTTTATACCGCTGACACAGTGTTACGGACGCTTTCGGTATAGTCACTTCGCGCAGGATTGTAAGGCACAACAGGAAAAATGCACGATTGAGAGAAATAGAGATTGCGCCAATCGCGGTACCGCTAATCCGCTTTGTGATTTTGACAGAATCAGCTGTGTGCGTGACGTCATCTTGGTGCAATTGTTGATTGTGAGCATACGAAAAAAACCAAATAACAATTTTAATATTTGTGCGTTAATATTTCTGCGTAGTTTTAAACAATTATTGAGACATTACAAAGCAAAATGAAGTGTGCCATGCCAAAGTGTAATAGTGAAAACAAAAGGAAAGCGTGCGATATAAGTTTTTTTTCGTTTCCTACGGACGAAAATCTGGCGAAAAAGTGGAAGCAGTTCTGCCGGCGAGAAGATGGATTAAACACCAAATCGAGCTATGTGTGCATGAAGCACTTTACTAGTGAAGATATTGAAAATAATACAAAGTTCGAAATAGGTAACATATTGTGTATTTTCATATTAATTGCATTTAATATTGTTTTTGTAAATGCCTTAGGTTCTGCAAAACTTCGTCGTTTAAAACGTGGTGCGGTGCTTACCATTTACGAAGAAAATCTCGGAGATTCCCAGCGTGCGGAAAGAGCTCAGCACAGGGAAAACAAAAGAATGTCAGCAAGTTACTTGAGCAGAGTGAGACTGCCGTTGCCACTGCAAGTAACAATTTGCATTTATATAAAGTTTTGCATTACACTGTAGCTAAGTTTTTATAGCTGTTGCGAGTGATACTGTTGATGCAAATATATCTGATGAAAGTGTGAATAATAAGGAAAATAGCCTTAAGGAAGCAAACGTTTCCGATATTCCCACGACTTCAACACCTCGCAAAGTATTTTATTATGACAGCATTTTGCAGGAAGTCGAAGAGTTGGAAACAAAATTGTAAGTTTTTAAAAGCAATACGGCACTAAAAATATTGCCCAAATTGCCAAAATTTCTCACAATGAACCACTGCTATTAAATGGAACACAAATATGCATACTGACTTAAAAATTTAAATAGTATTGTTATACATACATATATGTTGTACACAACAGTTTTTAGTAAATACGATTTTTTTATTATAAACAAAGATACTTGAGGCAAGTATTTGGTTTACATATTTTTATTAAAACAGAGAAAATTGTAGTTAGAACAAGATTAAAGCTAATACATGTATACATATATATGTCGCTTATGTTTGTACATTTAGACAATAGTCCGTCAACAATTGTAATATGTTTTTCTGTATTTAATTTTAGTTTCATTTTTAACTAATATGTACTATTTTTTTCAACGGACGGGGAATCTTCCAAAGATGTTATGCACGCTTCGTCATCCTGTCCGTAAGGGTACGCCTCATTTGGGACCACGCCCAGACTATGTTATCACATATGTCACTACTAAACCCTTAACTCTGACGTCTGAAGCTTGTGTTTCGCCTTGCGGGACCGGCGTTAGGTATTACGTTGCAAGGCGTAGCTTTGCCAATTGGCTCTTCACACACGCCTTTCTGGCCTACCTCTCGTTCAGTTTTCTATTATCGCTACTGCGCTGCCACTCTTTCCTTCTAAGTTCCTGAAGAACTATAGCGGACCACGCTTTGGCTCTACTCCACACCATTCTAGATTGCATCATGTGGTGCACAATGTTTTCTGGCGCCACTCGATCGTTTATCAGGTTTTCTAGGTCTGCACTGTCGGCGTCATACTTCGGGCAGGAAAAGAAAATGTGCTGCACGTTTTTACCGCTACTACCACAAAAGGAACACTTGGTCCCGTCATCGTGTCCGTACTTGTTTAGATATTCTCTAAAACAGCTGTGCCCCGTCAGAAACTGCGTTAGATAGTAATAAGTCTCGCCGTGTTTCCTCTCAACCCACACTTAAACGTTACCGATTAGCATGTGCGTCCACCTTCCTTTCGTGGTCGCAACCCAGCGTCTCTGCCACTCGTTTAAGCTAGTCTGTCTTTCTTCTTTCCGTTCTTCGCCTGTTAGTCGCCTGCCGATGTTTCTTGACTTGTCGAAAATTCTCTTAAGTTCCATGGCCATTATATCTGGTGGCAAGATGCCCGCTATGACTCCAACGGCCTCGTGTGATACCGTGCGGAACGCACTGACAACCCTGAGAGCGGTTAGCCGAGTCACTGACTTCGCTGTCTTGGCATATGTTTTCTGCTGGAGCGCTGGCCCCCAGATGGGCGCAGCATACATTAGTATAGACTGACTCACTTTACCTAGGAGTGCTCGCCTGCTCTGACTTGGTCCGCCAATGTTGGCCATTATCCTCGTTAGCGCAGCCGTAACCCTTGCCGCTTTCTCACAAGCTTTGTCGATGTGCGCCTTGTAGTTGAGTCTCGCGTCTATCGTCACGCCCAAGTATTTCAACGACTGCTGTGTCGTGGTGCTATACCCGTCAATGTTAAGCGTAGCAATTTCAACCTTTTTCCTGCTTGTGATCAACACCGCTTCCGTTTTTTGTCCCGCTAGTTGAAGCTTTGTTGCCGTGAGCCAGTTTTTTGAGTTTTTGCGCGGTATTATTGCATAAAATCTCTATTTCGTTGAGTTCCTTAGCCACTGCTGTTACTACGATATCGTCAGAGTACCCGATGATTTGTACCTCCCTTGGTAGTGGTAGGCGCAGTACTCCATCGTAGAGTACGTTCTACAGCAGTGGGCCCAGTACGGAGCCCTGTGGTACTCCACCCGTCTTAACATACTTTTTCGGTCCTTCATCGGTGTCGTAGAGTACCAGCCTATTTGACAAATAGTTGGAAACAACTCTCAGCAGATAGGGCGGTGTTTTCTTGCACTCCAGGGCGCTTATTATGTGGGGCCAGTAGGCAGAGTTGAAAGAATTTTTGACATCCAACGTTACTACCGCGCATTATTCTTTCGTGCCATACATCCATCTAGTCCCTTCGATTGCCTTGCTTGCGGTATCAGTGAGCTTTTTAATTGCGTCGATGGTTCACCTCTGTCTTCGGAATCCATATTGGTTGTCGGCGAGACCCGAGGATTCTTCCTCTAGGTGTTGCTCTAGTCGTACACAAATAAGTCGCTCCAGTATTTTTCCAAGTGTGTCCAACATGCAAAGCGGGCGGTACGAGCTTGGTTCCCCGGCAGGTTTATTCGGTTTCTGCAACAAAACCAGCCGCTGCTTCTTTCAGATTTTTGGGAAGACTCCTTCTCGCAAACACCGCTCAAATAAGTCAGTGAACGGGCTGGTATTGTGCTTAATGGCAACCTTTAGAACTTTGTTTGGAATACCATCTAGACCTGGTGCTTTGGCATTGCCAAACCTTTCCGCCGCTTGAATTACTTCCTCGTCAGTGACTAATGGTGCGTTCATTATCGCAGGTTGTTCTACTCGCAGCTGTCGTTCTTCTGGAGTTTGCGCAGAGAAGAGAGTTTCCACAACGTTTTTTAGTAGGATGGGGCAGGTTGGCGCTTGCCCTTTACCACCTTTAATTTTCCTCATCACCACTTTATACGCATCACCCCACGGATTTTCGTCTATATTTGCACAGAGCTTTTTGAAGCAGCACGACTTACTCCTTCTTATTGCCTTCTTGAGGTCGCTTCGCTTCCTTTTAAAGCACTCGGGCAGCCATGTGTGCTCCGCCGATCCCCGTCTCCTTTGGCAAAGTCGCCTCGCTTTGTGGCAGTCACTTCTTAATATGTCAATTTCTTCGTTCCACCAGTATGCAGGCTTTCTGTAAGAGCCTTGTTTTTTCTTCCTGCACATAACGGCGTCACATGCTTTGCTGATGTGTCCCACCATAATTTCCGCCTGTCGTTCCGTATCTTCTGCGCTGGCAAGATTTCCCTCCATCATGAGTCTGAAGAGTTCTTCGTCAAGTGTTTCGACTTTCCACCCTCGAGTCTGTGCCTTTCTGATGGCAGCACATTTTCGACTCTGCGCATTGTTTCCGATTTCGACCATTATGTATTATGTATAAATACAAATCTGTACACATATAATTGTAAATATACTTGTACACTAATAAAATAAACAATACTATTTACATGCTTGCTTCTACATGGAACTTTGTTGGCCTTTCTTTGGTGAGTTCTAGTAGGTCTATTTCCATGGTGAATGTAGACAGTTGCTGGTTTAGTTTGCTGGCAATGACATACATACAAAAGCAGTTTCTACAGTAAATAGACACATGAACTTCACTACCTACTTATTTTTGTTAGTACCTGATTCTTTTTAGTGCTGGTATGAGGTAATGCACCAGTGGATAAGGTCGCCAGGCGCTAATTCAAGTGGCATCTTACTGCGCTGTTACAAAACAGTGCCCAAATTATTATACATTTAAAAGTTCAGCTTAAATTATGTTTTACTTACATAGAATATTTGTTTCCAAAGAAGCCACACTCGTGCAATCTCTCGGAAATGGTACAAAAGTCATCAAATAAAAGCTGTGGAGTCAACAGCTGTGGAGTTTATGGTGGTTGGCTACCGTCCACAAATATAAATATTCACTCTGCATGGCTTTTTACAATGGCGGGTCCAAAAATTCACTTTGCTGCACACCTTCCTCTTGGTCTACATGAAATTGCAAACACTGTTAATACATCCATTTTTTCTTGTGCTAAAAATCGTACTTACCTAAAGGGCTACATATCCAAAATTATTGCTACGTGTTCCTAATTAATCAATCTTTGTATATTTATTGATTATTGCAAAATTGGGAAATGTAATATTAAAATTAACACATTTTTCTGCATTGTTTACATATTTTTATATGCGTTTTGGCATTTCTCTCTCGCAATTGCTCCAAGATGACGTCACACAAAAATTACGCTCAAAAATACTCTCTCTTGTATTCTATCATTCTTAGGAAAAATGCAGGAAATATTTCCAAGTACACACGGAAGAGGAGCAATGCAAGAAAGAAGTATGCGGTAACTGCAAGCACGAGCACGCGCCAACGTCTAAAGATTGTCCGGCTCGTGTAAAAGCTTTTATTATAAAAAGGACAATGACTTTCGAAAACTTTACACACAAAGAAGCACAAAAAAACTGACCAGCATATTGGGAAACAGATTTGAGTTATTGGATGGATACGATGAACCATTCCCGTATATACAGAACAGA